AGCAGGAATTTAACCCCATCAAGAAAACAAAAGCCTCTCTCATTAGTTCAAGCTCTTCTTAAAAAAAATTTTCCAAGGAAAGAATGGAGGGACATTACTAGCTGACCTGTTGATTAGGTCCAAAAAGCCCTAAGCAGACACTGTCCTGTCTGCCTTACACAGACACCTCTCAGCATTAGCTTGCATACCACATGCTGTCTACGGTCCATACTGTGGGGGAGGGGAGGGGAGGAGAGAGGGGAGTGGGGAGTCCCTGCTTGAGTGAAGAGGGGGCAGGAGGCAGCCAGGAAGACACTGCTGTGCCTGCTGTCTCTGCCAGAGCTCCAGCTAGGGAGCAGAAGGGCAGGACCAGCCCTGCTCTGGAGCAGAGAGCCCCACCCAGGGCTGCAAAGCATCTGGGATGCTGGGGTCCTCTGGTTTAAGTTAAACCAGGAAGAGGTCTGGGATAGACATTGCATAAACAGTTTGACCCAAATCAGTTAAGTCTGATACCACATTCAGCCAGCTTTATCTCAAGCCAGTTTCAGCCGTTTTCAAACTGGCTTATGTGAACAGAACATCTGTTCTGTTACAGGTTTAAACCAGTTTCTTACCACTTAAACTGGTTTATGTGTAATGTCTGTCCCTAGCCATTAGATCTGCCATTATACTCTGGACTAGGGGTCAGTGGCTTATAGGCTCCTTAACTAGGTCTTGCCACTGGGGATTCACTCCTTGCCCAAGGGGTAGGTACCTCTTTTCTCTTTGCCTTCCTCATACCCATGCCCTTCTTCATGTGCCATTACTCCTCAGTCACGGCATATTAAGCATACTGTTGAATTGCCATCCCATAATAAAGGTAACATTTCAATATTACTAGTGGGGTCCCTCAAGGCTCTATCCTTGGGTCTATATTGTTCAACATCTTCATTAATGATGTGGACACTGGAGTCAGAAGTGGACTGGCCAAGTTTGCCGATGACACCAAACTCTGGGGCAAAGCATCCACACCTGAAGACAGGAAGGCGATCCAGGCTGACCTGGACAGGCTCAGCAAATGGGCAGATGAGAATCTGATGGTGTTTAACATTGAAAAATGCAAGGTTCTCCACCTTGGGAGGAAAAACCTGCAGCATCCTTATAGGCTCGGCAGTGCTATGTTGGCTAGCACTATGGAAGAAAGAGACTTGGGGGTCATCATTGACCACAAGATGAGCATGAGCCTTCAATGCGATGCTGCAGCTAGTAAAGCGAGCAAAACGCTGGCTTGCATCCATAGATGCTTTTCAAGCAAATCCCAGGGCGTCGTTCGCCCGTTGTACTCGGCCTTGGTGAGGCCGCAGCTGGAGTACTGTGTCCAGTTTTGGGCTCCACAATTCAAAAAGGATGTGGAGAAGCTTGAGAGAGTCCAGAGAAGAGCCACGCGTATGATCAGAGGTCAGGAAAACAGACCTTACGATGACAGGCTGAGAGCCATGGGGCTCTTTAGCCTGGAAAAGCACAGGCTCAGGGGTGATCTGATGCCCACCTATAAGTTTATCAGGGGTGACCACCAGTATCTGGGGGAACGTTTGTTCACCAGAGCGCCCCAAGGGATGACGAGGTCAAATGGTTATAAACTACTGCAAGACCATTTCAGGCTGGACATAAGGAAGAATTTCTTTGCTGTCTGAGCCGCAAAGGTCTGGAATAGCCTGCCATTGGAGGTGGCTCAAGCACCTACATTGAACACCTTCAAGAGAAATTTGAATGCTTATCTTGCTGGAATCCTATGACCCCAGCTGACTTCCTGCCCCTCGGGCAGGGGCCTGGACTCGATGATCTTCCGAGGTCCCTTCCAGCTCTAATGTCTATGCAATCTATGAAATACTCTGACAGCTGAAATTTGTATGAATTTAACCACAACTATCAAAATGTTTGCACAAATTAAGCCTCTTGATCTACTTTCTTCCTTACAAGTCATCAGTTTTTGGTAGCAGAAACTTCCTTTATATAGAATCACAGAGCTACATTGCTAAAAGCCTAAAATATAGCTTTGAAGCCTAACTTTTAGGTATCCAGCTTTCAACCTCTTAGTCCATGTTACAACTGGCAGAAAGAGTAGGCTTTTTCTCCTACAGAAAACCAGAATTTTAGCAGAAATTTAAACAACAAAAAATAAATATTTTTTCAACTTTTTATTTAAAAACTTTTTTTCAGGAGAAAGTCATTCTTGGAGAAAAAATATTCCTGTAGCTGATTTTTTTGTGGTTGAAAATAGTTTTGATTGACCAGCCCTATTCCATATGGCTTGATCCTTTCAAAAATGTTAAGAAACACCATAAGAAACACAGCAAAACATCACCAGGTATTCTTTACAGAATTTCACTCACATTTAATTGTAGGGTCATAACAAGCAAAAATCCCAACCCACACCAGCATCCCAACAATTTTTTTTGTTTCTAGGAGCCTGTTGCTCTGTCTTCTCTTTTACACAGAGGTAACTTACTCCACTGACTTCAGTTGAGCTGTCCTGGATTTACACCGATGTGAAGATAGTTAGGTATTTCTTGACTAAACCACTCACCCTGCCTTTTTAGATCAGCTCTTAAGGCACTAGACATACTACTGAATGGTCTTTTGCAATATTTAAAAAGCAGAACTTCCTCCTTCCATCTGAGACTATTATTTCACTGGCACTGAAGTTGAGAAAGTTATCCATTTAAAAAAAAAATTCCTCCTGTTTCGATTTGTCTGGCTCTGCTGCCTGGGCTCTGTTATTCTGTTTTGTTTTCAGTAAGAGAAGATATAACAAGATCATCAGAGTTGAGAACTCATCTAATTCCTTAATGGCTTGTTGTTTATACCCTTTGATTTTGATGGGGTTTTTCTCTGTTAGCTGTGAAGTATCTCAGCCTGTAGATGGGATGTGCACTGAGGTGAGTGATAGCTATTTGTCTCTCTTGGGGCAGAGAAGTTGTCTACATAGAGAATCAATAATTAATCTTTGCTTGAATACTTGTGTGCCTACAGCTGATCAGTTTAAAGTGCTAAAAGATTTTTCTTTGGGGAACTCTGAACTAAAGCAGGTGTTCTGAGATGCCGTGACATTGCTCATGCTCTCTCTCTCTCACTCCCACACACCATCTTTTTGCATGCCTGAGAGCCTCTGGCACCTGCCAGAAACTGACTGTGTTTTTTACATTTCATAATGCTTTGGGGATGTTGAACTCTCATAGGCATGTTTACAGCAAGGTATCAGAGTTGGAAAGAGATGGGGTATTAAGAGTTGGTCTCTTAACCTCTTACTGTGCACCAGTTCACAGGGTAGGGTGGTTGTTCTTCATTGCTAGTGGGTACACACATCTGGGTAAGGATGCTATTCCACAGAAGAGCAGCAATACATTAAAAGGAAATATTAGGAGTCCCTGAATTCTTTTGGTGTTTTGGGTCTTAAAACCCCAAGACATTTAATTACATGGTGAATGGGACCAAAGAAACATTTTTTCCCCCCAGGTTCTTTAAGTGAAAGGAGGAGAAAGTACTGAAAGTGGCATGTTACTCCACATGCAGTAGAGGCTTATAACAGATTCCTTACTATACAAGTTTTACAACTTCTGTACTTGTCACTATTGTGAGTGCCTCAATAGTCAAGGATGACAGCGTAACTCTGGTGTGTTCAAGTGCACTGAGTGTGTAGATGCCTGTGCAGAGTAAGCACATTTTGTCACATAATTTGCAGTGCCTTTCACAAAGTCAGGCAGCTACTGCTGATTCACCTTTCTCCTTGGTCAGTTTTCCTGCCCAAGAGTATTTAATTCTACAGAACTGCACCACAGGGATTACTTTTTGACCACTTCATGCCCAGAAGTTTCAGGATTAATAGTTCTTGTAATTTGGCATGAGATAGGATGATGCAAACACTAGTAATGTTTCTATTTGTGGGTAAACATATCCATTTCTTAATCTTGCTAAACTATGTCTCAATACTATATTCACTGTATTCTAAGATGAAGTTCCCCTCCCTGCATTTAACATGGAGAAAAAGCATGAGTGACTGGTGGCTCCCAAGACTGGGGGGAGGGGCACAATTTGTGGGCAGCAGCATGGCAAGCATCAACCACCTGCAGAAGCCAGCATCAGCAATTGGGGGGGGTGGGGGGAGATAATTGGCAACCTCCCACAGAAGCAGGCGGCAGTGTCCAACCTCAGGGGGGGCACATGCCTCCGCCCATGCCCCACCATAAGTCACCTATGGGAAAAAGCCCCTTGTCTTCGGGTTGTGTGCAAGGGTAGAGGCTGCCTCCCCCACCCCCTGCCATTTACCCCCTGCAGCCTCTTTCTCTCCAATTCCACCCCATGCAGCCCCTGCTTCCCGCATCTGCCCCACACCCTTCCCCTCTTACCTTTGCTCTGTGCCAGCAAGCTCCATCCATGCTGCAGCCTTGGGAACTGAACCCAGCCTCAGCACAGTCCCTAGGAGTGGCACGCTGGCCATACGACTGCTACAGGGACTGAGCTGGGGCTATGCTCAGTGCCCCAGGCTACAATGGGGACAGAGACTGCTGGCATAAAACAAAAATAAAGAGGGGGATGGGGGAGCAGAGGCTGGGGGAAGGGGGAGGGAGGAAGCAGAGGCTGGGGGAGGGACAGGAGAAGGAGCAGAGGGGGAAGGGGGAACCCAAGGATTTGTGGGATGGGGGGCAGAGGTAGCAGTGGTGTGTGTGACGGGGTGGAAATGAATGAAAAATAGCCCTCAAATAATTATATTCGATACATGGGAAATTATAAACTATTTATACATTTTCCATGTATAGAATCTGATTATTGGGGGGGGGGTCATCTTATATTCAGGGTCATATTAATTTTGAGTAAATATGGTAATCTCTTATGGCTTATTAATAGTTCTAAAGCTTATATTTTCATCTTCCTTATCAATATTGAATATATTGGGTCATTTTAGGCCTGTATCATACAGTTCCCTACAGTTTGCATCATTGTAGGATTTAGAACTTGCTCATTTGGAAATTACTCTTGTGATTTAATTCTAGGATGGGGTGGGCAATTATTTCAGGCAGAGGGCTGCTTACTGAATTTTGGCAAGCTGTTGAGGGCCACATGGGTAACCCCCCACCGACAGGTGCTCTGACCCCTGGCCGCCATCTTGGGACTAGAAGTCCCGCCTCCTAACCCCTGACCTTTGCCACCTGAAGTCCCTCCCTTTACCCCCCAGAAATACTCCTTTCAGCAAGGGGCTTTGCCATCTCAGAACCAGAAAAAATACCAAATTATATTCTAAAAAGAGATCTACAACATTCATTAATTTGATTTAAAAAAATATGTGTGTCCTGATTTACATGCGTTTCCTGCCAGCTCCCCCTGGGTCCTACTGTCCCTGTCTCCTGTCATCTTTGACAGGCAGCCAGGAGCAGATAAATATTAATTTTCTAAATTTTTTAGGGGCCCTGCGGGCCAGATAGAATAGCCTGGCAGGCCAAATCCAACCCGTGGGCCATATTTTGCCTGCCCCTGTTCTAGGAGTTACTGATTTGCTATCTCATTGCATCATTCTTCTTCTGAGTGATTGTTCCCATACATATTCCACTGTAGGGGTGTACTTGAGCACAGAGGTTTTGGTACCCCTCTGACACCACTGCACCCTGCCTTTCCTTGTGCTTTACTCCAAGGGCATGAAAAACAGTGCGTGCTTCCTGCATCGCATTTCCCCTCAACCCCCTCCCTGCACAGACTGTGTCTGCTGTCTTCTCTGCAATTCCTCTATTTCTTTTTGTAACAAAGACCAGTCCCAGGGGTGGCTGTGACCATGCCCTCCCCCTCACCCCCGGTGGTTATTCAGCCCTTGCTTTATCCTGAGCCTCTCCTTCTGTTCATCTGCCATGCCTTGATGTACTTATACCTTTAAGGAAAGGGAGGTTGTCCCAAGAATTCCCAAGTGAGTTCTTATCCTGTCCTATTCCCTGGTCCAAGTCTGTTCTGGTTCTGACCCTGAAGCCACCCTGCTCCCATCTCCATGTGATTCCCAGGTACTTATGTGATTCCTTTCTGGGCACGGGACCCTCCTGGTGTCCCCCACACACTAGACCTGCTCTGGACTCCAATCCCATTCTCCTCCTGGGTACTTAGTCTCTCCTGGGCACCAGACCTCCCTGGTCACCCCCAGGCACCAGCCTCTCTCTGATCCCATCTCTGTTCTACTCTCAAGTACCTAGACCCATACTGGTCCTTTCTCCACCTTTCACCAAGGCTCTGGCCTTGCTTCCAGGCTTCTGGCCTGCTCTGCCCTGGTCCTGGGCTCCAGCCCTACTCCCAGGCCTGTTGGGACCTCCCCCTCCCCTTAGTTACTCCAAAATCTCCAGATGTTACCACAGGCTGTAATCTCCTAGGTGTTATTCAGGAGCTGAAGCCATCCTGCTCAGGAGATGTTCTCTCAGCAGCCTCCAGGGACCAACTACCTACCCAGCTCAGGGCCTGAGCTTATATACACTATAAGCACAGCCCCCTTCTGGGTTGCATGGCTCCTGATAATCTCCTACCTCCTGCAGCCTGCCTGCTCTTAAAGTAGCAGAAGCACCAAGCCTCCAGCTATACTTCTGCATGGTATGCCATTTGTGTAGTTGTGAATTTTACAGTTATGACTGTATTGCTTTCCCTTCTCTGCCTGTTCAAATTACAATAAAAATGAAAAAAAAAATGACCCAAGTTTTGTATAAAACTTCTATCCAGCTTCAACCAACTTGTGTTCCCTCTCTCAAATATAGAATTAAGTCTTTTCACAATTCCTGTTATATTAAAACTCACCAGCAGAAAATTTATAGGACAGGAAATTTCCAAAAAGATATCCTCTCTCCTTGAAGTTGATTTTAGTTGTAATATAGTCCCCTCAGAGACAGAGTAGTCTTTTCTGAAGGTTCCTTTAAAAATAAGGCCTTTTCTTTTTAAGAGGAAGGTTTGTCATTTGGAAAGTGGAACAATTCTATCATTTCTCTTTGGCAGCCATTCCTTGGATATTGATTGCTGTCCACTCATGCATATCAGCCTGTTTGCTTAGGCAATGAATGGGGATTTGAGGCCTAAAACAAAGTTTGACTTTTTACACATGTCTCTTTCACTCAGGCTGGTACAGACTGGTCTACTGAGGACTGGACTTCTTAGCATTTAAACACCTTGCATTTTGACTGAGCACCATCTTCTGGACTGTCTCTTAGAAAGACTAGTCAGATATGTTAATGAATTCCTATAAGTTGAATAATTTTATTTTGTGCATAAAGAGATAGATTGTTCCATTTCCACCTGGACTTCAATTATTTTGAAGTTTTTTCCCCCCAGTTTCAATTTATCAGATCTTTTTACCCAGTTATAGCTAACTACTCTGACTATCCTCCTCCCTTACACTATTCAGAGTATAAACACCTCTCATGTCCTTTTAGTTTGAACATTTTTTATTGTATTGAACTAATTTAGCAACTTCAGAACAGCACTTTTTTTCCTTTGATTTGCAAGCTCTTCATAGTTCTTAGGGCTTAGTTTAGATGGAATCTTATTACAAAACTCCCAGTCTACATATTCAAAATTTAAGAGTACCTTCCATAAATATTTTATTAGGAATTAATAATTCACACCAAACAAGCAAACCTACATATACATGTTAGCTTTGATAAACTAAACTTCACAAAAGATCCAAGCTTCTGGTTTTCAGAAATGCACTCCATATAGTCCCAGAATCCCGTTTCAAATTCTGCATTAAGGTTTCATAAAACTCACTCTTGTACATTACTGATAGGTTCCTGTTCTGTTCTCCAGCTGCTACTATGCCCTACTTTCACTTTGTGCCCCTGCAGAACTCAGCAGTTTGCTTTTAAATTGAACACAGTTTTCTTCCCCGCCAACCATCTAGGTCTCTGTGGATTAATGACTCCTCTCTCTCTCTCTCATAGTCACATCACTGCCTAGGCATTTAAGTTCTTGCTATTTTGTTTTAAAGTAAAATGTTGCCATAGGTTCTCTCTCTATTTCAAAGTTTTTGGAACATAGTAAGATGCAGATGGCATTATACCAGTGCTTTAAGACAGGATATTGTCTTTTTCATTTTGATTGATTTCTTTTTTAAGACGATTTTTGGGTAAATTGTGTATTTTGGATTTATGTAATTACACGCATAAAACATTGATGCTTAAGAATTTAAATAATATAATTTCCACAGGTCACAGCCAACAAAAATTATAGTTGTGAAGGGTTAGGACTGACAGAGATTCCTGAAACGCTTCCAGCCACGACAGAAAATCTTGACTTCAGCTTTAACTTGCTTTCTTCCCTTCAGAATACAACGTTCAACATGCTAAAGTATCTGGAATATTTAGATTTAACAAGGTACTGTAGATTTTTTCCACTTTCATTGATTATGTAAGCCATTACTTGCCTTTTATCTGCCATCCTTTAGAGGCCTTGTTTCAGTCATTTAAAAGTATACCGTGACAGTCATAATCATGTCAAAACTGTAGTGACATTTACCCACAACTAATACATTGTTTTATCAAACATGGATTCTGACTGTCTTGAAAATATAGAGGCTTCCCCTTTACAACTTGGAGTTATTGGGCCATTTGTATTACAATGATTAGAATCTGAAAGTCTCATCTATGTATTTATACTAACCCCAAGAAATCTGGTGTAGCAATAGCAAACTTCTCTTACTGCCCTTATGATTAACACATTTGTGAAGTGAGGGCAAAATAAAATTTTAGCTTTGTGAGAAAACTTTACTCTTATAGGAGTAAGACTGCCTTCCTTATTCAACATAATGACAATGGAAAGAGTCTTTACATGATGTTCATGCACAACTTGCAATACATTGACTTTCATACCCAGTCAGGACAGCTTTCACTTCTCCTTATGTCCTGTTCCCTCTTGAGAACTGCTTCCTCTGTTGGACTCCAGAGTGGAAGAACAGGAGCTTGTGAGTATCAGCCATGCTCTAACAGCAAACCAAGTCATAGCTTTTAATATGAGCCACGGGTCACACAGTCTTTCTATATACATGCAATTATTGAATTTGGAGGATAGATTTTAAATAACCATGTAATGTTGGGAATATTTTGAGACGTGTTAATGTTGGCGTATACTGCTCTTTTCAAGGTGTCAAATCAACTGGGTGTATGAAGGTGCCTTTCAGAGCAATACCCGACTAAACACAATTGTATTGACTGGAAATCTACTCATGTTTCTGTCTGATGCTGCATTTGTTGGCCCCAAGTCTCTGAAGCATCTCATCTTAACGCAGACAGGTCTCAGCACCTTATCTTTTATTCCAATGAAGAATCTGCATAATTTAGAGACTTTTACCTTGGGCAGCAATCACATCTCCTCACTGCAACTTCCTTTGAATTTTCCAACCAGAAACCTCAAACACCTTGATTTTCAAATGAATAACATTAAAAGAATAATGACAAAAGATGTAGCCATCCTGCAGCAATCCCATAACTTAACTCTCATCCTGAAAGGCAATGAGATGACATACATTGAAGATGGGGCTTTCCAGTCCACATTCTTCTACAGTGTGGACTTTGGAGGTTGCATTGACATCTCTGTAGTATTATCAGGTATGCAGGGTTCCCAAACCCACATTCTTAAGCTGGAGACATTTAAAGATGTAGAGGATGGGCTTCCCATAAGTCCGGCCATGCTACAAGGCCTGTGTAATATTTCTGTGAAGGATGTCAACCTACAGAAACGACACTTCCAATATCTGAGTTCTACCACATTTCAATGTCTGACCAAACTCCAAAGCCTGGATCTAACTTACACCTACCTCATGGCATTACCTCCTAACATGACTGTCATGAACACACTGAAGGAATTAATCCTTAGTAAGAATTCTTTTCAGCATATTTGCAACATTAGTTCTGCTACCTTCCCTTCCCTTACCCATCTTTATATTAAAAAAAATTCTGTGAGACTGGACTTTGGCTCTGGCTGTTTGGAAAATCTGTCAAAGCTTCAACACCTAGATTTAAGCAACAGTTATATAGCAAGCATAGACTGTTGCAGCCAACATCTGAAAGGCCTGAGCAGATTACAGCACCTGAATCTGAGCTACAATGAGAAGCTCCATCTCAAAATATACCCTTTCAGGAATGTGGTAACCTAGAACTCCTGGATTTAGCTTTTACACTTCTTCATATAGATACTCCCTCTGGACCTTTCCAAAATCTGCATCACTTGCGTGTCCTGAACCTCTCTTACTCCTCTGTTAATACAAGCATTCAGGGCCTCTTACAGGGACTGAAAAACCTTGTCCAGTTGAACCTTAGTGGAAATAAGTTTGAGTCAGGGAGCATTCTGAATGGCAACCTGTTTCAGCAGGCACCCAGTTTAGAGGTGTTAATTTTATCATCCTGTGAACTGACAGCTATACAAGACAAAGCATTTCACACCCTCAGGAAACTAAAGCATGCTGATCTGAGCTACAACAAACTTACTACATTCAACACAGAAGCATTTTTCAATCTCAAGAGCCTGTATCTCAATTTTGCTAATAACAAGATTCATATCATACCACGTGATATGTTAACTATCCTATCTGGCCAGAGCATAATCAATTTAAGTTACAATCCACTAGAATGCACCTGCTCTAATATTGACTTATTAACTTGGTACAAGCAGAATATGGATAAAATTGAAGACCCCAAAGGAACAGTGTGTTCTGAACCAGCATCTCTAGCAGGTGTTCAGCTGTCCACTGTTACACTGTCCTGTGGGATCAGCATTACAGAAGTAGTTTTGATTGTGATGTTCTTGATATTGATTGTTGTTATACTTGTGATTTTGAGGGCATGCATTTTAAAGAGAAAATACCAGCAAATGTAAACTTGCAAGGGATTGGTGACAGTAATATTCCACACAAAAGAGAAGATATAAAGGCAGGTTATGAAGAAAGGACCATTTTTCTACTTGTTATTTTGAATCTGGACTGTAATTCTCTTGACATTAGTATTACATACTTCTCATTACAATTTTTAGGAACTAATTACTACAATTTTTTAGGATGAATTACTACTTATTAGTCTCCTAACATAGGGGTAGCTCCTATAAAGACTTATGCACATAAGTAAATAACTTTAATTGCCCATATAGTCCTCACTGTAGTAGGCAAACTGAGTTGTGCTAAGGCTCTTAGCATAAGTTTAGGCCTTCCCAGAACTAAGCAATAAAAATGTACAGAGTGCTGTATAAGGCAGTGGAAAAAGTGACTGCTGTGACTGGTATGGTGGGTGAACCATGTATGTTTCCCTAAAAGAAAATGAAATAAAAAACTGAATAGGATTGGAGTGCCTTATAAAAAAATATGAGAAAAGAACTTGAGTATTGGGCAATTTGCAATGAGAAAATTACAAAAGTAATGGACAAACAAAGGGACAGTTGTGTTCCTGCTGTTACTCTGGGGAGATGAGGGGGCAGTCATGGAATTTCTGCTTGAACTACAGGAAAATTAACAACATCCCAAACACTCAGTGGAGGACCTGAGACTAGTACCACCAAAGGTTGCTGCTGTAATGTCTAATGGAGCCACTTGTCAGGTTATATTACAGGGAGGAAACTTGTAACATTGCATAGGGGTTACTATTAAAGTTCACTTGATGTCCAATTGGATGAGGAGCCATCTCAATCCTTGCGGGTCTCTGGCAAAAAGAATCCTAGTGGTAACACTCGCTGTAGCCATTCCTTCTGTCTCAGCTATAAGTTGGCATTGGTATACTAGGGCAAACCACTAGAAGAAAAGGAGTAAGATATGAAATAGGATTACCCCAAATTAATGGGCTCCCACATGAACAGTAGCCCGATGCAAAAACTTTTGCCTCTCCTCTACCTACTTGGTGTGAGGATATAGGACTTCTCAAAAGGACATTAACAGCTTGTAGGGAACTAAGTGCAATTTGTGTGAGGGATAGGATGAGCTAAGGCAGTCCAATGGCTGTTCAGTTTCCTGGCCAGGAGGGAACGTGGCTGCTGAGGCGTACCTAAAGGCTGACATCAAACTCATTAAACCATCTTCCTGACTTCTGCTAGCCCCTCTTCTTGAGCCAGCATTAGCTCCTGCCCTGCCTCATTATTTTCATCATAAAACCCCTTTCTTCATCTAACTTTCCCCGTAGTTTCTGCCCCCTTCCTTTCCCACAGTGGCTGCTCTACCTTTTCAATCCAGCAGCTCCTGTCATACTTTGCTACCTGTCTTTGCTCTCTCAGGCCACGTCCATGTGGTGTGGATGTTTGATTCCCTAGGGACAACTAGCAGCAGTGCACCTTGACCTGCCACTAATTGTCCCTGGGGAACGCCCATGCCACGTGACCTCTGATGTGTGGCAAGTTACCTGGGTGCGGTAGGGGAGGCTGGGGCCAGTACTGGATTGATCCTAACAGCCTTATCTGAGGCCCTGGGGGCCTCCTGGGGACACAGCAGCGACAATTCTGCCACGTGGAGCCTGGTCAGTAGCTGCAGGGTGGCTCTGGGTGACCTGGCTCCACTTTTGAATGGTGTACGCTGGCCATGTGTGCACAACTCCACTTATCTTCTCTGAGGATTATTTTGACCCCTCGATATCCAGGGATCAAAAAACCCCTCCACATTGCTCCCTTGCAGCATGGAAAACTGAACGTGCAGCATGTGGCACTGCCAACATGTCCGCAGCACCCACATACCTCATGGCCATGCTCACCAGGATGCAGCCTCAGAGTTTTTCACTTTACTTTCCCCTCCCCAGTAGCTTCTCATATCCCCACCCTCAGCTCAGATTGCCTTCTGGGCTGCTGACAGTGCTTCAGCCAACTTATCCTTTCTGATGTGGGAAGTTCAGGGAGGATAAAAGAGAGGTTGGGTGGGCTGCTTGCATAACCATTGCATGAGCCATCCAAAGTATTTTGTGCAGCAAACATGTTGTGATGGTTTACGAATAGGATCTTAAGTTGCCCTCAAGTCCAACCTTGTCCAACGCAGCCCAGCCAAGCATTGGTTTAACCTGCTGTTAAAAACTTCCAAGGATGGAGACTCCACAGTTTTTCTAGGTCATCTGTTCCACTGCTTAACTCTCCTTAACAACTACATCTTTGGGCCTTTTGACACCTTGTGTGGTAAGCTGAACAAATGTTAATTGGCTTAGTGGAGCAGTCCCACCTGAAGCTGAAAAACCAACTCTGGCTGTCCTTCACCTGTACAACTGTGATTTACCACTAGAGGGTAAGGTGAGCAGGGGCAGGACCAGGAGCTATGGGCAGGACCAGCTCACTTTTCCTGTCAGGCATAGATAGCACTGCAGCCCTGGACTGCCTGGCAGCTGTGGTGCCTCCCACTGCCATCTAGACCAGCTCACCGCTTGCGTTCCTAGGGGCCCAGTCCCTTTTCTCCTCTGGAGCCTACCCCCCTTCCCTCCCCAGGAGCTCAGACAATGCCCAGGCAGTAGCAGCACAGGGGGACCTGCAGAGAAAAAAAAAGGATCAGGACCCAGACACACGGCCCAGTGAGGCCAGGTAGCTGGAACAGAGTAGAGCTCAGCAGCTGCAGTGCACAAGTCCAAAGCCAGTTCCTGTTGACCTGTGCCCTGCCAGACTGCACAGGGTCCAACCACCAGCTCCTTCCACCTGGCTCACGTGGCAGTGGTCACGGTTGGCAGGTGCCTGAACCCTCTGTAGCAGCTGGGCAGCTCCGGGCATGGAGCACAGTGCTCGGCACTGCACAGAGCAGGCAGGAACGCTGCACTCCTCACAGCCATCTCCCAAGTCCAGCAGGGGCAGAAGTGCCATCCCTGTACTGAACCCGTCCCTTCTCCAGTGCCCGCCCCCCATCCCCAGCATGTTTCCAGACTTCTGGGCCTAAGCAGAGCGAGTGAGCTCCAGGGCCATGGCACTGACTCCACCTGGCGGGAGCAGCAAGCCGGTTCTGCCCCTAGCTCCTAGTCCTAGTCAGGGAACACGCCAGGAAGAGAGGGGGGTATAGGGACAGGACTTTCCAGACTGCAGCTTATTTCATCAGAACACAGTCCAAGGTATTAATTACCTCAGACTAGAGGCATCCATAGAACTACTGTATTGTTGGTCCCCTGCTGACTGGGCTAGTATATGCTAGCTGGCTGCATATAAACAGTAGGGGTGTGCGAAGCTGGTGGTATTCAATTCAGATTCAGCCTGATGCAGGGGACAGTGATTCGATTTGCTGATTCGGACAAATCTGAAGATTTGATTCTAATTCAGAGAATCACCTATTCAGCCATAGAGACAGCTTTATGTGTTTTTTCTATGTACCTCGAGGTACTAGGCATGGTTTGTGAACGCTGAGATGATGCAGCGGATGGAGCATCCCATGGGAGCACGGGGGAGGGGGTCCCCCCATGTGCTCAGCGGCAGACCCAGAAGTGGACTGAAAGTACTTCTGGGTTCATCGCCAAACATGCAAGGGACCCCTTCCCCCATGGGACGCTCCATCTGCTGTATCATCTCAGCATTCACGAGCCATGCCTGGTACGTAGAAAAGACGCATAAAGCTGTGTCTATGGCTGAATTGTCGAATCTCTCCAAATCTATTTGGATGCTTCCGATTTGATTCGGAGAGATTAATGGGTCTCCTGATTCGATTTGGAGATTCAGCAGCCAAATTGGGTTGAATCTCCAAATCGAATCAGCAACCAAAGCTTTGTGCAGCCCTAATAAACAGGTAAGGAAAAAAATTAGATCATGGTAGCACAATACTGCATGTACATTATCCTCCAACCCATGTCCACTGAGAGAGGATGGGAGTGGGCTATCTCTGCCTGCAGAAGTATAGACAAGTAAGCTAGGGATTGTAAGTTAGCTTGGACATATGCTGCAAACCTGGATGCTCATGTTGCTGACAGCTCTTGCACAGTGTTGTTCTGGGTAATGGACTTATCTAGTGAGCTCTGCCAAAACACAAAGACTTGTCGTTACTTAATTACACTGTATTAAAGAGCTTTTTTCTTTATCACGGATTACAAAAACTGAGGAACAGTATTTAGAGTTAACATTTCTACTTGGCCAAAAGACCGAGAAGTACTTTCTGTGTCTTGTGCTGCTAGAATGCAAGTGGTTTTGCACCATTGCTTCAATAACAAGCTCACCCTGATGTAGAGAAACAATCTCCTCTAAGGCTATGCACCATTTTATCTCCACAGAAGCGTTATACACTGTACCTAATCTTGGTCTGCCTAGAGCAAAGGCTCCCAGCTGTGAGAAAACAATGTTGCATTTACTCAGTGAAGAGCTAGTGTCTTGAAATACTTTCGATATGGATGTCAAACTGTGCTTCAGCTATTGCCTCAAAGGCTTTTTCTGACAATTCCCTGCATAATAAATTACCTACCTTAGATTTTAAAGGTCACCTCTAGGTCAGAGAACTCTCACTCTGAGCTTGAGGAAAGAAGAATACATTTTTTTAAAGGAAATACTTTTCATCTGCTGCAGTGGAAAACACATGTGGCTGTTGACAGTCCAAAAATGGAGTTCTGTTGTTCTTCAAAATGTTTGCAAGCCACATACACAATTGGAAATATAATATACAGCCTCCAACTCTGAGCAACTTTGTTGATCAACCGTTCTCCATGGTTTTTCTCATGGAGCTTGACATGAATGCATATTGTCTGTTTCCCAAAACTGGGTGCTCAGGGAAGCAACAGGCAAAGAACTCAGTCACAAGTGAGCATGCCACAATGTATATATAGCGTGGGAAAGCACTGTGGTAACATATGTCAACTGCTTAGCTCCAGACCATGTGTACCAACTACTTGATTCTGGAAGGGACCCACAAATTTTAATGATTCTACTGTCAGCACTTCATTCCATCATACATCACCTACCCTGGATTATGCAATGCCTCATCATCTTGAAAGGGGAAGTTCAGGCTCAAACCTTACCCAGTCCAAATACAATTCCTCTACCAACGTACAGTTCTCTACCAGAGGTGCTGGTTGTAGGCATGTTGGTCTAAGGATGTTGGCAGACAAAGTTCTTGGAATAAATCTGATATCTTTTATTAGATCAACTAAAATAGTTGGGAAAATTCTTCTTTGCAAGCTTTTAGGTACACACAACCTTCTTCAGGCAGAGGATGTGTCTGCAGGTGTTTTGTGCTTTTTCTGGATGAGACAGAAGCCAGTATGCAAGAATGCAGGTCAGTGAAAATACAAGTGTGTGGCAATGGATTTTTCCAACTATGTTAGTTGGTCTAACAAAAGATACCATATTTAGCCAAA